TTGTTGTTTAAAACTCATACGTTTGTAGGAGGTTGTCCCAAGTTAGATCTTTCATCCTCTTTTAGCACTTTTTAATCACTTATGTAAGCATTCGTTCAACCGCCACGCATACAAAAAAGCTCTTTGTTACAGCAGTTAGAGAAACAGTATTACTATGATTTTGAGTTGATACGAAGTTCAACCAAGCCAAATCTCTGCCTTTTCGGTTGCGTCAAATAACTGTGCCCAAGAATCTGAAGAGAAGTGTCCTTAGTTTTTCGTTCCTCATGATGAGGGACAATAGTGGTTTGTGGCCGGGGAGTGAGAAAACAATTTCTTTAACCGCGGGCTACTCCATCTACCAAGGACGCCAATCTTGGGAACTAGACTTCACCATCTGTGTGTTCATGCAACTATTCTAGATATTCAAAAGTATAAGACTCACAGAAGTCGCTAAAGTTAAGCTTTTGGACAAATCTAGTAACCTCTTTAAACCAATGTTTGTTCATTTTTTCTGCAGTACTACCAAAGTTTGTACAACTATTTTTGCAACAGACCTAACTTCTAAGATAACTGCAATACTTATTTCCTATATAAATTTCCAGTCATTTGATCGCATAACTCTTCAGACTTCTACTAAACTCCTGTTTCGAATGCAGGAGTAAATAGTTTTTTGACTTTAGCAGTCCAAAGTGTGAAACCTGTACCGCTATTTTTCCTTGCAGCGCAAGGAGTTCCAATTATGCAATTTCTGTTTGAGCTTGCTCTCGTATGGTGCCAATGTCTCTTGTTTGTGAAATATTTCTCGAGTATTCAGATAGATAAAGTCAAGAACTTTATTAGCAAAATCTCTTCTATATAGCAGACTAGGCAATCTAGCGACGAGTTCCGTCCTCGAAGAAGACACCACCGTCGAGGGCGCAATATTTGGGGCAAATACCACGCTCTCCTGGAGTAGCTGGTCCACCTCTCTCTCCCGGTCGTCCTGGATTTCCAGGGTTTCCAGGTTGTCCATCGCCTCCAGGTGGTCCTTTGGGTCCAGGTTGTCCTGAGATATTATGTTTGAACTTAATGCTAGTTGGCTTATAAAACTTAGTATATGGAAGAGTTTAGAATTACCGGGGCCTCCTGGGTATCCTGGCTGC